GGGCAGGTGGCGGCGGCGTCGGCGGCGGCGGCGGTGGTGGGCGCGGCGGGCCTGGCGTCCATCTGCGACTCGGACACGGACCCGCGCGAGCTCGAGGCGTTCGCCGAGCGTTTCAAGCAGCGGCGCATCAAGCTGGGCGTGACGCAGGCCGACGTGGGCTCGGCGCTGGCCAACCTCAAGATCCCGGGCGTGGGCTCGCTCAGCCAGAGCACCATCTGCAGGTTCGAGTCGCTCACGCTCTCGCACAACAACATGATCGCGCTCAAGCCCATCCTGCAGGCGTGGTTGGAGGAGGCCGAGGGCGCGCAGCGCGAGAAAATGAACAAGCCGGAGCTCTTCAACGGCGGCGAGAAGAAGCGCAAGCGGACTTCCATCGCCGCGCCCGAGAAGCGCTCCCTCGAGGCCTACTTTGCGGTACAGCCCCGGCCCTCGTCCGAGAAGATCGCCGCTATCGCCGAGAAACTGGACCTCAAAAAGAACGTGGTGCGGGTGTGGTTTTGCAACCAGAGACAGAAGCAGAAGCGGATGAAATTCTCAGCCACTTACTGAAGAGGGTGGGAGGTGCCGGGTGGGGCCGAGCAGAGAGCTGAGGGGCCGTTTCTGGGGCTCTCCTTTGGCCTGCTTCCCATCTCATAGTGTCCGTTATCCTGCCTGCATTGGGGGGCGTCCCACCTCCTGCCCTTTCCTCCATCCCACTCTGCTCTTCCTGCCCCTGCCATACCCCAGCCTTCGGGACAGGGGTGCTGGATGTGGAGAAAGGATGGTATGGCAGAACGGGGGCATTTGCGTGATGGGGAGTGGGGGAGGGGGGAGAAAAGCGAAGACTGGAGCAGGGGTTTTGAGGAGCAGGATGGTTCTGGGGACTAGGGTGGGGGGGTGGAAAGATGTGGAAAGGACTGGGAAATGGACTGTTTCTGACCAGAGAAACTTATCAAAGTCTTCGGGGACCAAGGAACTACGTACAAAGACAAAACTACAAACCACCAAAAAAAAAAAAAAACTAGACAAATAAAAAGAAAAAAAAGACAAACAACTTTAGAAATTTAACTCTGGGGAGCAGTACTCTGCAGTTTCATTTGCCCCCAAAGAAGAGAAAAAAGAGCAATACCATTACTACCACCTCCCCAACCTCACACACACAACTGAGTCATAAAGGAAAAACGAACGAACCAGAAGATAAAATTCTGTATAGGAAGCTAGCTGATCTGTGTTTTACAGTTCCCTCTAAATCTCCCATCCACTGCACTCATACCCTCTTTGTTTTATACCCTCTCTTCTAAAGAGACTCCAAAAGCTTTGCCATGGCTCTGGAAAAGAGCTGGGGCACAACTTAAAGGGGCTTGAAAGGCAGGCTGCCCATTTAGACAAAATCTAAGTTTTCCAGTGGCCAATTGCTACAGTCCTGTGGCCTGGTCTTGGCGGGTAAGGGTCTTTAGGAAATTAGAGATAGATTTTTGACATGTCTAAAAGAGAAAAGTTGAAGTCTCCGAGATAGAGATTTTATTTTAGGAAAATAAAATGATTATAACAACTATAGTAGTATTTTTCTTTTCATTTTTATTCGTTCATCCATGAACAGGTGATCTCAAAATACGGGTTCTTTTTTTTTTTAAATCCATTTATAGAACTCTACCTTAGCTTACCATTTATTTTTCAGAGTCTGGCTTCAAACTATCTACTAAGGTTTATTTCTTTTAATTTCAATAGACTGGTGGGGTGGAAGATACTGGGAGAGAGACTTCCTTCCATTTTCAGTTTTCTCCACTGAATGAGACTCATCTCACTCTTCCAGGTCCCTTCTCCTCCTCTTTTGGAGAACATGAAGTTGTTGAAATGCTGAGAAGTTTCTGCTTTCATTGGGGCAGGAGTTGCCTGTGAGAAAAATCCCAGAAGAGAGGAAGATTTAAAGGCCCTCCCCTCACCCTGTTGGTTTCCAAGAGGTCTGCACTTCCCCAGGGAAAGCAGAATAATTGTTTCCTTGTTATTGTTATTAGTCAAGGGTCATTTGTTACTGGGGACTAAGGTTGGGTAGCAAAAACTTTAATTTGCACTATAAGTTTCCCAAATAGAAAATCACATGTGGTATTTCATACTAAGAATCCAGGTACCTTACAAGCTGCTGATTAATTTAAAAAAAAAAATGAGAAAGATGGTTGAGGGTGGTTTGGTAAAATGCCTGCTTTGTGTACAAGATACTCTTTGGATCTCACGGGGAGGTGGTTGTTACTGTCATTTAACCATAACTTCAAAGATGAAAACAGAACAAATGAAGGGGGGAAAAACCCACTACTGTTTAACAAGACTGAAATCATGCATGATTTGAAAGGTGCAGAAAGAAACACAATTAGGTCTCACTCTGGTTAGGCATTATTTAATTATGTTGTGTATCATTGTTTGCAGCGCAAACATTCTATGCATTTGAAACAGCACTGAACTGGGCTAGCTTTCTGGTAGACCGTTTTGTGGATAGTGTGATTTCACAGTCTACTGCCTGCTTCCACTGAAAACACAACATTCTTGTCATATTCTTGTATGTAGACAGAAAGGAAGAAAGGAAGATTATTGTAAATATTTTATTTCATGCACACACTCACACAATGGATACAAACTGCCAGTGTTAACCCTGAAATGTCTCACGGATTGATCTACCTGTCCATGTATGTCTGCTGAGCTTTCTCCTTGGTTATGTGTTGCCCAATTACCTTCTTTCCTCTGCCCCCTTCTATCAGAACCATTCCTGTGCGCCAACATACAACAGGGAGATGTGTCCCAGTACACTTACAAATAAAACATAACTGAAAGAAGAGCAGTTTTATGATTTGGGTGCATTTTTGTGTTTATATTGAGCCAAGTCCTGATAGAGCCGTTCAACAACTGAGACAACAAAACGCACCAAACAAACAGAAAAGAGAAAAGGGGGTGTTAAAGGGACATCAAACGAAGGGAAAGGATGAGAATAGTATTTTTTTTTTTCTAAATCAGAATTCACTTTCAGATAACTCGTGAAAAGTGGTGCTCTGAATAAAATGAATTCTATATTAGTTGCCTGTTTTATCCCCCCCCCAATTTTTTTTTAACTATAGAAACTCTTAAGACACAGTACTGTTTAGAGTGGTGTGGAAGGTAATAAATAAGCAGGCGTCTGAAAAGCATTTACGTTGAGGGTCAGGACACAGGTATTTGGGGTTTAAATGTGCTGTTCTACTTTACAAACACTTCTAAAAATGTGACTAAATGACTTTTCATGACAGTTAATAAATTTTGAATCCATTACCTGATCTGTCCAGATACCTTGTCAAATGCTTCTGTGCCACCTACTTCTCCAGAGCCACCAGAGTCTATGTTTTGGTGACCTGGGACTAGATCAAATGCCAAATGTACAAAGTTTCTTATTAGCTGGGATTATATCTTCTGAAGTAATTCCATCTTAGCTAAATCTTTTTAATTTCACCGGCAAATCTGTGAAAGAAAATTGATGTTCAAAAAGAATAGTACATTTTAAAAAGGTGTGATTTTAAACAGTTGTTAATATTTAAAAAAGCACTAGAGGTATTTTTAAAACTAGATCTCTTCCATCAAATTTTATTTGTTTCTGTTGTTATTGACTTGAAATATCATCGGAGTTTTTAAATAAAGTACATTTGTAAAAAATACACATTATTTTATAGAAAAATATGACCAGATTTCATTGTTAGAGATCCAGGAATGATCAAATAAAAGGATTTACAAAGGTCGTTTTTTCTAAAATCTGCTAAAACGGAAATGTGGCAGGCAAATACATTTGTATTAAATAATAATGGATAATGTATGTATTAAGAATTTAAGCATTTGTTTTGTATTAAGAAAATCCTTACTCAGTAAAAAGGAGACTATTATGTTAATAAAACATCATGAAAACATGCTTTGCAGGGTTTCCTATTTTATGTAGTAGGAAACTGTGCAAAATAACAAAAAAATGTTCTGCTTTCTGGTGAGTGAAGCTGTTAACTGTCTGAAAAGAATGCTATGACTTTGTGAGACACCTTTAGTTGTCAGTCCAGGAAGAAATTAAATGCAGGTCCTCCCAAAGAGAACACTAAGGTGTGGTAGTTCTGGCTTTTTGAAGTTCTCTGGTTCAGAAAATAAGAAATCCAAACTAAGTGGATTTCTGCATCAGTTAGTGGGTGGAATAAAATATGTGATTCTGGGCTCTTCTACAGAACAACCTCAACATAAGTTTCGGAGGAACTGGGCCCCATTTCTGTTTAACATTCTTAGACTCCCAGGAGGCAGAATAGAAAAAGCAAAGAGAAAAATATACATTGAATGGAACTGCTACCCAATGCCGCCCATTCCTTTTTAATTGTCTGCTTTCTGCCGTCCTCGCAGCGTCCTTCTGTAGGTCTAAGAAAAAGATGTCCTCCACATCTATCAACTAACTTCTGAATAGATTTTGTCTAATGCGTGTTCTGAAATTACCCTCAACTTCGATTATAAGCTCTTAAATAAACCCTAGGCACCCACTGCCGTGATTGTATCGATTTTTACTTTTTTTGTGATATTAAGATTACTTGGGTCCAGTTCGTTCACTTGGTACAGAGAAAACCTGGTGCCCTAATCCTGGGGCTTGACTCCAGGGTAAGCCCCATCCCAAGGCCCCGCCCTCGCGGCCCCAGCCTCTCCCTTTGGGTATCAATTGCCCGAACAGTCTTGCCTCTTTTTGTCCTCAAGTTTAAACTGGAACTTCTGATCAGCTGAAACCAGCTTTCCCCACCCATTCTAAGGGTCTTAATGGCCAGAGGGAAGGTGACGACCACAATTATTGATACTGTTTGCCATCGGTGTATTGCCATTGTGGCCACAGTCAGAGCCCCAAGATGACAGCAGCGCAACCCTCGCGGGCTCTTTCAAAGGAGACGGAAAGCTTAATTGATTAAAAAAAAAAAAAAAAAAAAAAAGACCCAGCAGCAGCCGAAATCGAGTTCTCACGGGGGTCTCTTCCACCTGCGAGATAAGCCTTGTCGCGATAATTACGTTATTTAATATTTGATCAAACCTTCGCGCCTCTGCGACTTGAGGCGCGCAGAGCGGCCGAACTCCAGCCGGGCATGTGCGACGGGGACGCGCGGCCGCCTAACTCCGGTTGGCTTGCACTCTGAATAATTCATGGTCTGAGAGTTCTGAAAATTAATAAAATGAATGATAACAAGGAGCTAATTAAAAACTTTCGTAATTGTTGTCAAGTCAGCTTGATGGGAGACAGCCCCGGGTGACTGACTCCCTCTCCGAAAACTGGTGGATGTGCAGAGGGTGGCGCTGCCCGTGGCTGAGCGCGCCTCCTACTCCGGGTGCTTTCGGGTGTGTTTGCCCGGCTGCTTGGTCCTCGGCGCTGCCTTCCGCAGTCCACCCATCTCTCCTGCCTAACTTTTGGACTGCGGGCCGGGAGGGTTGGCATGTGCAGTTTCGAACCACAGGCAGAGCTGACTGGGTCCTATTTTCTGCTAGGAGGGGACAACCCCACCCACCGGAGATTCTTGCTCTCCCCCAGTAGGACCCACCACACAGAGGTCCCAACGCCATCACATGCGCGGCTCTCCGGTGTGCGGCTAAGTGACCGCAGAGGGCCAAGTGT